AGTTCCCCCCTCTTTTTTTTCCTCCTTAATACATAATCTATAGAATATGACGACACAACTAAGGCAGCTCTATAAAAGATTAAGCTTCGTTCTCAGCAATATAAACTACTATTTGCACGATGGAAATGTTTAAACACAGTACCTGTTCCAAAAACACAGACCAATAAAATTTGCTTTTGAGATTCACAAATACACATTTCTATCTGCGACAGATGAATAACACAGATGAACTTTCTTAAGATCTCTCCAGAAGTCTGAACTGCCTTTTTCCATCTTCAGTGATCTGGCCCTCAATCAATTTTGTTACAACGTTTCATGAAAACAGCAATACTTTAATTAAGCCTTCATTTACATTAATCTGTTAAGAACAAGAGCACAATTCTACAATTACTTACACCACCCCTTAAGTCAGCCCCACAAATAGCAACTCCGAAGTTCATTTAAGCATGGACAAAATATTAAGACTGTCCTTAAATCATACTGGGACGGGGCCCAGAGATACATAAGTTGGTGTTAGACTGAAGGCTTTAGTGTATTTCTGTTGCTTTCCAACAGAATATTAATCCAGTTCTCTGCAGTTAAGTTTCAGTACACATAGGAAGTAATGTAACCCCTAACAGTAATCCAAATCTTGGTACTAGAAGAAATTTTCCTTATAGTTAATGGAGGGATTTTCCTTATAGTTAATGGAGGGATTTTAACTGCAAGGAATCTTCCTTAATAGTTAAAGGAGAGATTTATGTATCTTTGAGCTAAACAGCTCAAAGATACATAAATGGCTTTAGGACTAAAGTACAGATTCTTTTAATATTTAGAAAATAGCACTTATAACACATGATGTTTGTAAATCAGAAGTGTTTCTTTAAAAAAAGAAATTGTTCTTTCAAACCTTATCTCTTCTAAGTAGTTTGGTCAGTAGGTTGTTGAGGGGGGAGGGGTTGGGAAAAAGATTATTTCTTTTTCATGAATAGACCTTACTGCAACAATTGACACCAAAGTAGTTCAGCGCTTAAAAAATAAGGCTAGTATTTCCTTAGTAATATCGTCTCCTTAAAAACAGATCTGCGATCTACTTTACAAATAGAGAAACTGAGTCACAAAGGGTAAAGTGACTCACTCACATGCATACAGGAAATCTCTGGAAGATCTCCCAATTCCCAAAAGGGTCTTAGTCCATAAAATCTGCAACCTGTAAGATAAGCTAGAAAATATCAGAATGTATTTCAACTTTCTTTTTTTCAGAACACCTTCTCGTAAGCGCACAAACTTGTTTCTTTTGAGCTTAATCTTGAAACAGAAGTCTGCCTGAGAACATGACTGAGGCCGTGAAAGCAGACATTAACAGGGGCCACGTAGCCCTCCAAGTTGTAGCGTTAAAAAAAATCATTCACCAGAACAGGAGCTTTAAACCTAGGGAGAGGGAAGGGAAAAGCAAAAGGTTTCTAAAAAGGCCCATACATTTACCTTTTGGAAACCTATTTGTCTTCTTTTTAATAAATATACAGTAAGATATGGCTTTTTTTAAAAATAAATCCATACAATATAAGGCAGGATGGGAGCATGCATTACTGGACCATTAATGCATCACTTGGTGGTTGAAATCACTCAGCCTTTGGCCTCAAAGCACATGAGAGGCATGCATTAACAACACTCTCAAAGTCTTATTATCTTGTTTTTCAACTTCAGGTATACCTTAAACCACACATCAATACTTCCAAATACATGAAAGGCATCTAAATTAAAGTTCTTCAGGAACCGAAGACAGATTTGGCGTTTCAGTACTTCCTTTTTGATTGTTTAAATCCAGAAGGTTCCGAAGCTACACTAGAATAGAAATTTATACCTCATTAAACCAAGGACAAGATTAAAGACAGTCTTTTAAGGAAAAAGAAAATTAAAAAGTGCGAGAGACTGAGACAGAGGGAGGCAGAGAAAAAGAAAAATATTAGTCTTCCCTTTTTTTTTTTTAAATATAGTTTACAGTATCTGCAGCTTGTATCAGAGTACACTACACCAACTATCAAATAATAAATCCTTGTGACCTCCCTACCCCCACCCAAACATATTTATAGTGGTGATACTAAAAGGTTCATATTTCATTTAGGAAAAGAATTAGAGAGGAGGAACTGCACTTTCGCTCAGTATTTGTGTTACCACACATACAAATTGTATTGCGATACACAACATAAACTAAGGGAAAAAAAAAGTCTAATACCGGGATTATACTGTGGCAGAAGAAATTCTCCATCTTAAAAAAGTAACAGGTTATAATCTTGCCTGAATTATTTCCTCAAACATTAAGTTCTTTCAGTATTCCCAAACTACAAATATATGGAATTATTACCTGATATCCAGCAAAGGTATTGCCTGGAAGATGAACATGACATTCACAAACGTGATTCCACAAAGAATTTAGCTGACTGTTTTAATGAACTTAATCCTCTCCTTATTTTGAGAAATACTACTGCTTTTATATTAATAATAATGGGATGGACGTGCACACAGATGAACATATCTATCACAAACACAGGTTTTCCAAATTATTAAGTGACATACATATCACCTTACAGAAACCTATACACACCCCTCAAAGAAGCTGCTCGAGTCTGTTGCCTCCTTCCACCCCCCTTTTCCCCGACAAGAGTGGTCTCGTTCACTTGCCTTTCACACACATAACCAATAAAATTAATCAGCTGGAACACAGCATTTTTAAATCGCAGTAAAGTCCAGATATGTTTTGTATGTTATTTGAAGGAAACAGTCTTTTCATTTAAACGTATTAAGACTGTAATATGCTGCAGACAAACGCACTGCATGGGGTGTGGAGGACCCGAGCTGATTAGATTACCACAACATCAGCCTGAGGCCGCCATTTTTAGAATCTCTAAAGGACAAAAGAGGGAAATTAAAAAATTTCCTCCACATTTTTTAAAAAGTAACTTCAGAAGTATGGCGTTTATAATCGAATAATTGTGCACTACAAGTACAGCCATAGATGTCTCTTTCTTTTCTCTGATTTAAGCCTTGAGTAACAAAAGCGTTTCATTATTAATTTCTCTAAAATAATGTAAATAATGAGTCTAAAACATTCTTAAATCCAGATGAAGTACTAAAGTTCTGCCTTTAATAACGTGTAGTGGGTATCATTTCTGAGACCTCAGGGCTTTTGGCCACCGCATATTCCCTAATGGCTGAGTATGGGGGAATACAGGACCTTTATAATCAGGCTATATTATGTTTCTCTACCCTATCTAGTACTACACACTGAACCGTTTGTTTCTCCTCCCCTCTGTCTGCAGCAATAGGGTCTGCTCCACTAATTTTTTTTTTTTTTTTTAAGAGAAAGATGAAGATATGCCACCCAAGGAACACAAACGCTGGCTAACAGAAAACTAAAACAAGAAAGGGATGCACCAATATAACTACTTACAACCTCAAGACAGGGGGTGGGCAGAACGATCCCCTTTTAAATTGGGACAGAAACACTTTTAGACTGTTTGCCGTTTGTCCAGGTTACACCACGAAGCAGAGATATTAGTAGACAGGGAGGAAAGGAGGCGGGGGTGTGGAAAGCAGAGAGATTAGGCCTATAACGAGCCATTTCAGTACCACAAAGCAAAAATATACAGGATGGAGGAACAGAATAGATTTCCCTAAGCTTCATAAAACTCAGTACGCAGTCCCAATAACACGCAAGCTGCGTCCTTAAAACCTCGAGTCCAAGGAAAGGTATGTTGTCACATAATAGCTTCTTCTGGCTCTTCTTTTCCAAGCATAATGCATAAACCTGGCATAACTGCCAAAAAATTCCCCTCAGCTCCTCCAGTTACAGTAACCCGCCATATTCACAAGATGTAGCGACACCCTGCCATTTTTTAAACCAAACCCTACAAAATGAGAAAGAAATTCAGGGCAACTTAAACAGAATTTAAACATATTTCCGGGGGGAGGGAGTCATACTCTAAAAGATGGCAATGAAACGTCCCCCGTCACATTTCAGTCCCTTTTTGCCACCCCCTTCCCCCAAAGCAGCCACAGCTGAGTACGTTACTAATAACCCAAGACTCACCTGTAATGGTCACAGGCCAGGCAGCAGGACCCCTCAGCTGAGCCCCTTTTCTATCCCAGCCAAAACAATGCAGCAGCCCCACTGCGGATATCCCTACCCTAGGCAGGACTCAACCCTCAGCAGACTCTGCTAAAAGAAAGAAAGGGGAAAGAAAGAGGAGACCCCCCCTCCCCCCAAAACTAGCTCAATGCACAGAACCCTACGGGGACCAGCTAGGAAGCGCCCTTTGCCTCGGGACCTGTGTACAAACCCCGCTGCCGCCACTGCTCCCGTGTCTCCCTCCTTTCAGCCTCCTACGCTCCCTTCTATGTCACTGCCTCTCTCTGGGAAAATGGCGTCCGTACTCCCCTCCCTCCCACTGCACGGGGCTCACCCGCCCCGCCTGGCAGGGGCAGGGGTACCAAGGCGAAGCCAAACAGCCGCCATTTTGCTTGTGGGCTGGAGCGCG